CAACCGGAATTCCAAAATGCGTTTTCGTTTTGAAAAGTTTAAATAAAGACAGTTGTTAAACTGATTATCATACAGCAAACTCTATAATAATTCAGTTACATCAGGATACCTGCATTCTATCAAACTCCTTTCCGACTGCATGCAAGAACTATACTGCGTAATAAATGACTACGTAATTAACGTGCACTTTTTCATTAATTTTCGCTGCCCTTCAAAATTTATTTATGTACCATGGAAAACATGCAAAGTAACATTCAGTATTTTACTATTCGGTAGAAATGGACGTTTTTGTTCATATTTACACTCGGAGGAAGTGTATAATTTGGTTTTAAAAAGCGTTTTCAACTCCCAAATAATAATGAATTTCATTTGCCGTCAAAGTTGAATTCAACGTTCCCAAACAACAAGCCATTTAATTTTCGCTAATGGAAAACCAAATATTTCTCTACGGTGTTAAGAGGAGGCTATATCGGATTCATAAGATTTACTAATGGATTTGAGCAATATTGTAAACTTTACAAGAAACATTGGTGAATGCAGAAACAGGATGTTTGATAAACAGGCTTTTCACAGCCTAAAACATCTCACGATTAGAAACGTTTTTAAATCCCAAATAAACAATTCTTTTTATTTAAAATTTAGAAGAAGACTTATTTGTTACAGAATTAGCAAAATAGTAATATATTTTTATGCGTATTGTCCATGAAATATAATTAAACTTTGAGAAAATCTCATTGTAATTAGGTAGTCCTTATTTTTAAAAGTTAAGAGGAGGCTATATCGGATTCATAAGATTTACTAATGGATTTGAGCAATATTGTAAACTTTACAAGAAACATTGGTGAATGCAGAAACAGGATGTTTGATAAACAGGCTTTTCACAGCCTAAAACATCTCACGATTAGAAACGTTTTTAAATCCCAAATAAACAATTCTTTTTATTTATAATTTAGAAGAAGACTTATTTGTTACAGAATTAGCAAAATAGTAATATATTTTTATGCGTATTGTCCATGAAATATAATTAAACTTTGAGAAAATCTCATTGTAATTAGGTAGTCCTTATTTTTAGAAGTATATTTTTTGCATGCATCCAAAACTATGTTCGTTCGGAAGCCGGCATCCTGAATAATTACCGAATTATGCTGCAGGATGATCAGTTTTACAATTCTATTTGACTAATATTTTCAAAATGGAAACGCATTTCGGAATTTCGGTTGACATTTAATTAATTAGCCCACCTACTGTAATATGATGGCAAAACAATCTCCTCGACAAAGACCAAGAAGGATGTCTTTTTCAGTGCTACTGTGCTGCTGCCTGCGGCGCGCACTATAGAACCTTACGTACAACTTGACGAGGGAATTC